AGTCCCCTTTCTCTCCCTCTTCTTATTCTTTATTTCATAGGTCCTCATGGTTATATGGCAGCGAAGCATCAGTTCAAATGACTGATGTACTGCTGTTGATGATGGTGTTGTTCATCATTCCATCCAGTACTTACTCTTGCAATCACATTAATTCTAGAGCGTTCCGCAGTAAATCCCTTACCGGGAGATTCGCCGGTCCTATCGGGATTAGAGGGGGCTGGGGGAATGGTTGGGGGAATGCAAAAAGTATGCTGTACTAATTTGGGGCAACTGATTTCAAGTGGATAGCGTGTTATTGCCGATGGGCACGCAGAAGGCATTGTGAGAGGAGGAGGCGGAAGAGAGTATGGATAGGGACATAAATAAGTGGTCTGTGTTTCAGCAAAGTCATGTACAGGTCTGCCAGGAGAACAGTCTTTGCACATCGACGGAACAATGAAGAATTGTGGCTTGCCACTCTGTGCGGCATCATTATTATTCACGACTATCATTGGGACACGGGGAGTCACCTTACCAGCACGAAGGCCCCTGTTTGATCTAAGACGCTTAGGGCGCGGACCATAACCACTGCTGCTATGTGTAGTCATAATGTCAATGGGTCGTAATGTAACTTCACTGGAGCTATCGATAGTCCCACTTGATGTTTTTGGACTTGTATCTGTTTCAATAGCGGTGTAGGGATTGATCCCAACCTCTACTGGTTTGTCATAACGTGGTGCATCGAGTGAATCTACACTATTTTCTATGTCAACAAGACTAATGCGGTGTGGAGGCGTGAGCATCTCAATTTCCGCTACGCTGTCGCCAGGCTTAGCATCGCTTGTGTACAGAGTGGCCTTGCTAACATTAACTGTGTTTTTAGAAAGGGAGAACCAAACACGGTTGAATGACCTCCTTCTTGGCACTACAGGAAGCGCGCAGGGGGGATGACTCTGCTTCGGCTCAGGTGGGATATTAGTTGCCCTCATGCGTTGAAGCTCACGTTGCAAATGTGACCTGTCTTCGAATAGAATAACTGTAACGTTTCGTAACAGGTCTTAAAGTATTTTGATTTCTGATAAATGAACTTGCGAGAGTTTCGCTACGAAAGCTGAACAGAGTCGGACAATGAAAACATAAATAGTTTTTCCTCAATCTTCTACAACTAATATCGGTCTCAGCGATGTTGCATGCCCTCGGAACAGTATGCCTAATGTTGTCAATCGCGATATTGTCAGCTATGTTGAGGGCGATGGCGTTTTTTCCCTTCTGCATCTTTGGATAACCTAAGAGGCGACTGCATTTAGGAAGTTTAATACTCTAACTTTATGCTTTTGCGCTGGATTAGCCGGAGACTGAATTATGTATGAAACTGACATAATGATATCTCCTAATGATTCAAACAACTTTAGTTTCTCATTTTGTTCTGCTAGCTGTTTCTCCAACATTTTTATTTTGACTGACAGTGGAGATATAAGGTCGACAACACTAACTGAACTCTCTGTCATTTGTCTTTTGGACCATTTTTACCTGCTCTTGTATCCCAGGCGGCTCGGAATGTGTGCAACAGAGCACAGGTTCCTCGGTACTCGTGACCGCAACGTTAGTTATCGTGATAATTCGGTTTTCCGCACTCTTTTTCCTCATTGCACGAGTGTTAATGGCAGTCATCTCTCTTTTAAATGGGAAGATAAAAGCTATCTAGTATATGCTATAGCCAAGCCTGAATTCTGGGGTAACAAAGGTCGTTAAGGTCCAGTGACTTACCTATTCAAGTCAACAAACAGACCACTGTTTCAGATGCAACCAACGATACAAACCAATCGGAAGTAAGATCGCTCAGTTGTCCAAATTCTGCCAAGGGTAGATTGTCCTTCAGTAATCGACCGCTCTGTGCACAGGTAGCCCTTAGATCAACTTCGTGGTGTGCCTCGTCACGTTGTGTCGCAAATTCCAACAAGCACATACGCACAAATACGGCCAGACAAAGGGATTTGCGTGCGTTCGAGAGGACGCGATTCGCAATGCGGCTTAAGAGCTCTTGGTCAACCAAGGCAGTGTACGTAGATGACGCACTACACTCGCTGTCACATACTGGTATCCGTGCATCTTTGAAACTGGTCACCGAACGTTTCGTTTGGCCACGCGTAAACAAAGATGTTCGTACCTGGGCTCGCGCCTGCCTTCAATGCCAGCGCGCTAAAGTACATCGTCACACCCGCAGTCCTCTTGGTTCATTCCCTGCCCCGGACTCTCGGTTCTCACATGTACACTTAAACCTGGTAGGTCCATTACCTCCGTCACGCGGATTCGTATACATTCTTACATGTGTCGACCGCTTCACCAGATGGCCAGAAGCTATCCCCGTAACAGACTGTACAGCTGAGACTCTTATCCGGGCCTTCTTAGATCGATGGGTCTCGCACTACGGATGCCCATCCACCATCACAACTGACCGAGGAACGCCTTTCGAATATTCACAATTCGATACGTCCTGCAACTTCTTAGGTTGCCGCCGCATTCATATCACAGCGTATCACCCAGCAGCCAACGGGTTGGTTGAACGCTTCCAAAGACAGCTTAAAGCCTCGCTCTGCGCTTCCTTCGACCCTAGCTGGAGCGAAAACGTTTCGCTCGTACTCTTAGGCATTCGCAGCAGCATCAAAGCTGACTTGCAATGTGCACCAGCAGAGTTGGTTTACGGCACGACGCTCAAGTTACCAGGAGAATTCGTTTCACCTCCCGCATCGTCGGGTATGCCTCCGCCTAACTTTGCGTCCTCCCTAGCTCAACGCATGCGTTCACTACGCCCGACCCCGCCCCGTGAACAGACTAGAGATGTGCAAATGCACAGCGGACTCTCTACCTGCACTCACGTCTTCCTCCGCACCGACGCAGTGCGGCGCCCTCTCCAGCCTCCCTACACTGGCCCTTTCAGAGTTCTACAACGGACTCCGAAACATTTTACTATAGACCAGAATGGTCATCGAACAACGGTGTCCATCGACCGACTCAAAGTGGCTTTCTTTGATGAGCCACTTGCAGCCCATCCTGATGCTCTCCCACAAGCACCCGCACCTGTGGTGACTTCCCGAGCACTGGATAACCCGGATCCCTCCGTACCCCTTGATCCGCAACCTATCCCGCCGCAACCCCAGGCAACCGACCGACGCGGTAGACAGGTCAAACGTCCGGTCCGTTTTTCCGATTTTGTAAGCGTTTGCTATTTCCATGAACACGCCTTTTTCGTCTTTAATGGTTATCCTGCGTCACACCCACAAACGTTTTGCAAAATCGACAAAAAAAACCCAAAACATTTTGAAAAACCTAAAAAGCGTATTTGCTTTTATCATACATGCCATGTTCCCTCTCCGGCGTCAAGCCACTTCCCCAACCCTTGCCAACCCCCTCTGAGTTTTACTTTCCAGAAACTCAACCGCCGGAAGTGCCCAGGCAACCCTCGAGTGACTCGCCAACCGGCTCAACGCAATCCTGGAGTGACTCGCCAGCCGTCCCAAAGCCCCCTTCCTCATCTAAGGAACGGATAGTCGCCCTCGATCGCAGACACCCACGGACGAATTGGTCCCCAAACGCCGCTCAGGCATTGCCGACGAGGACGCCGGATTTCTTCGTGGGACGAGCACCCCTGGATTTCTTCGTGGGACGAGGACCGTGGACTAAAGTGCGGTGGGGGGGGAGTGACACCTCCCAAGCGCACCGTCGGGTCTGCAGCAATGGGAAGGTCCTGTCGGCCTTTTTTCTGGACTAGCCAGTTTTTTTGCAGTCCGACCAGCCCGCCCCGACGGCCCACCGATGATGCACTCTGGTCCACACGATCGTCATAAATAAAACTAACAAAAGCCTGGACCCAGCGAAATCTGCTACACCCCACTTTGGAAGCCCTTCTCAAGCCCCTGCAAACATTCGCATCCACCCTCACCTTCCGTTCCCCCCACTAACAGCTCCATCGAAGGCTTCCATCCTTCAGCCTTCTAGGGGGAGGCCCTTGTAGTGCAACAGAAAACATGCTCTTTCAGTATCTTGTAACATTGGATTTTATGGTTGTTTTAACCTTCGAAACGTCCATTTGTTTAACTGACTGCACATCCGTTGTCACAAACCGTTTTGGTGAGTTCCTCGCTGCACGTTTCTCGCTCTGTCTGATTCGCTTCCTATTCTTGTAGCCTGCACAATATACGTTGGGTTCAGTTGCCTCCGACTTCTATACTGTCGTATTTGGCACGTCTTACGTGTCATTGCTTACCGACTAGTATCCCAGGTTCCGCCCAACAACCCCACCTAGTTGCATGCCAGGGGAACACTATGATCTGGGGTCTCATTGTTGTAGGTTCACTGAAACAACGGAGCACGTTCTTTTGGCAATGCACCAGTTGATGTCAGTGACCCACCAGCAATACGCTGATTTCATTCAATAGACATAGTTGTTTTTAAAATTAACGTTGAAGGCGATTTTATCGCAGCTAGATGTGAAGTGCGTTGCACACAAAAGAAGTTGATGACCGATCGGTAAATCTTAAAATTGCTGGAGGGTGTTGACCAGATCTGATCGGAACTAAGAACCTGTTGAATGAAGATCACGAAAAGCTCGCACCGGATGTCGCTTTGAGTAACCATGTTGATTATCTCACTTATACGCATACACAATCTACTAAGTAAGCAGTTGAATTGAAAGCAGTATCCATCACCCATAGTCAGTAGGCACTTAATGAACTACTGATGTAGCGCTACGGTAAAGCCAGTCGTTTCTGTAGGTGAGATAACAAGCAGCTCTATCCTGACCCCTAACCAAACTGAAACTTGCCAACCTAAAAGTTGAAACGGATGTATTCGGATCAGACTGTCAGCGCTACCAGTCGTGCATAGGTACATGGTCCAAAGAGGTTAAAAATATCGCAATAATACCAAGTTGCAGTTGTTTGGTGAGAATCGTTCAATGAAGGCCACACATTCTTAACTAATGTGAAAATCTCTTCATACGTAGCATATTAAAACGAAGTTATTCATTCGGCGGATTCGGTAGAAATTTCTATACGCGGCGGCGTATCCGATTGGGTCCAGTTTAGACAATCCGCAACAGATGGGCTGGCAAAACTCGATTTTGGCCTAATATATATGGTCGACAATGGTTCATCAGAAATCCTGTAGTTATAGGAGTCTTCGTAGGTGGTTGAAAAACGGGGCTGAATAAGGAAAAAGTGGAGAAATAGAGCATTTAACGAGAAAAAACGCTTGCTGTTCGATCTTATGTGGATAACACAAATAGCAAGAAAAATCAGTGACGCGGACGCTGCAAAAGTAGCTCGTGCATAAGTCAAACGGTACCTGAAACGGTCAAGTTGAGACGCTCAGCGCTGCATCGCAAATTATAATGGCGACATCAAACTTTACGAACGGACCAATATGGTATTTACATACAGCTAGAATTCAGAACAACTAGGTACACTCATGGGGCTACAAGCCACATAAAAATGCATTGGTCCTAGCTTTGTCTTTTACTGAAAAAAATGCGACTCCCAGAGGAGGGCGATCCACCACTGGAGGATAGTGACAGAAACTTTCGTATTCATATTACACTACTTGTTGTTGAGAGAGTACAACACAGGGACTGTGAGTACACAGCTACCATAAAACGGTGAGCGCAGTTCAAGTTAACTGACATAATGGCCCGTTATTTCTTAGTCCAACTATGTTACCATGTTGGTAGCTGGCAGAACAGCGCAAGACACACTGGTTATGCAGTCAGCTAGTCTACGGAAAGCCACCGCGGATCGAAAGTTTCTGTCACTATCCTCCATTGGTGGATCGCCCTCCTCTGGGAGTCGCATTTTTTTCAGTAAAAGACAAAGCTAGGACCAATGCATTTTTATGTGGCTTGTAGCCCCATGAGTGTACCTAGTTGTTCTGAATTCTAGCTGTATGTAAATACCATATTGGTCCGTTCGTAAAGTTTGATGTCGCCATTATAATTTGCGATGCAGCGCTGAGCGTCTCAACTTGACCGTTTCAGGTACCGTTTGACTTATGCACGAGCTACTTTTGCAGCGTCCGCGACACTGATTTTTCTTGCTATTTGTGTTATCCACATAAGATCGAACAGCAAGCGTTTTTTCTCGCTAAATGCTGTATTTCTCCACTTTTTCCTTATTCAGCCCCGTTTTTCAACCACCTACGAAGACTCCTATAACTACAGGATTTCTGATGAACCATTGTCGACCATATATATTAGGCCAAAATCGAGTTTTGCCAGCCCGTCTGTTGCGGATTGTCTAAATTGGACCCAATCGGATACGCCGCCGCGTATAGAAATTTCTACCGAATCCGCCGAATGAATAACCTCGTTTTAATATGCTACGTATGAACAGATTTTCACATTAGTTAAACATGTGTGGCCTTCATTGAACGCTTCTCACCAAACAACTACAACTTGGCATTATTGCGATATTTTCAACCTCTTTGGACCATGTACATATGCAC